ACTAGAAAGAGTTTCTAACATAAGTCAGTTGTTTTTTCTAGACATTAATATGAACATCCACATAAGTTGTTGTGCACATACATGTGTCCAGTTTAGCCCCACCCAAATTAAAATACGTTCCCCCACACGTCTGAGTGTCTCCTTGAGCTCAGGAAGTTCTTTAAAAACTGACTCTGATGGAAAGGTTTTTTTTAAATGTGTGTGAACAATGTTGTTTCACGTCTTTCTCACACAGACATTAAAAAGTGTCCAGTATGGGGAAACCTGATGAAACAGGTTGTGTGCACATTTTTTATCATGTTATCTTATTTTTATTTTTATTTATTTTTCCTCGATTGTATTTACTATCAACAATGATGAGAAAATCTTACTCTGACATTGGTTATAATCCTGCACATGTGAAAATATGTAATTAGACATCTGTTGTTAGTGTACAGGGATCCATGAAAGAAACATTTGATCCAAAGAAAGAAAATCTCTTTATTGGCTTACAGCATTAACAGCATCGGCATTATTGGAACAATAAAAATGTCATGATCTAAAGTTTAATTCAGTTAAAATGTTGGAATGATAGAAAGTGCAGATTTAAAGCTGTAGCAAGGTAAAAACAGAAGCAGAGTCCCAGTGAGTCCGGTCAGTACTGAGAACATGGTCTCTCATACATTTCCATAGAGAGCCACTTTGCATCAGCACCACCATGCTCCAGTGCTCTGGGAGAGTTTATAGTCCTGAGAGTTGAACACTGGATGACTGACAGCTGTCCTTCATGACAACAGAAGACACAGAAATCCTCCTCATCAAAAACATGACTTTGATCTCCGTCCTCATCTGGACTCTCCTCTGCTGCTGCTTCACAGGTAAAGTCCAGAGAATCAAACTCCTCTCCTCTATGAACATCCGTCCCTCTGAAATGAAGCCCACAAAACCATGACGCTGCTTTATGTTTTTGTCTCTGTATCCTCAGAGTCCAGAGGCCAGGACACAGTGACTCAGTCTGGAGCAGTGAGCTCTGCTCTGGGACGCTCCGTCACCATCACATGTAGGACCAGTCAGAATGTCTATACTTGGAGCAGCTACCATGCTTTGGCCTGGTACCAACAGAGAGATGGAGAAACGCCTAAACTGCTCATTTACTATGCTAGCAGTCGAGCATCAGGGATTCCAGGTCGTTTTACAGGCAGTGGATCAAACTCTGACTTCACTCTGACCATCAGTGGAGTCCAGACTGAAGATGCAGCAGTTTACTACTGTCAGAGTGATCACTATATCAACAGTCAGAGAGTGTTCACACAGTGAAAAAGCGTCGTACAAAAACCTCCCTCAGTCAGACTGAACAGATACTGAACTGACTGCTGCAGCTGGAAGCTACTGCAGAGACTGATACACTTCACTGAGGACACACACACACACACACACACACACACACACACACACACACACACACACTAAACAGTCTGCAGGAGAACAGTGGAAATGAACCTGTATATGGTACTGAACTGATAGAGGGAATAGACACTTTTCATGGCAGACATTTTGACTTGCCAAAGCAGGAAAAGCACAGGTGTATTTATTACATTAATGATGGCTGCATTACATTTAGGTGAGCCAGTCTCAGAGCTCTGGTTCTGTGCATGCTCACTCACTGAAAGGCCTTACTGGGACACTGAATGAAACAGAGCCAGTGTTACAGTTTTCTTCAATTGCTAACAAGTGTTTACCTAAACTTAAGAGACTTTATCGAAACTATTAACACAGCAACACACCTACCTCACACTTTTAGCCAAATAGTACATTTTCTGCTCAAAACCACATTTCGTTCTTTAAACACCAACTCTACATTTCAAAATGCAAAAAACATTCTCTATATACACAAACTCTATCAAAACACAGCAAACCTGACTCAAAATCAAACCATTCTGTTAAAACACTAGCACGTTTTCTTTCCAAGAGGAACAGATCAATCAATCATAGCACAACAACTTTCTAAATACAAACAGTTGATAGCATTACAAAAACTCCATAACTTTTCATGCTCTACCTGCAAACAGTAGACAATGAGAAATCCATTGTTGTTTTTAATTCAGTTTCATTTTACTGTAAACCACCCTACATTTTTGGCTTGAAGGTCAAATGTGTGCATTTTTGGCAACAAACTACGCAAAAGTGAATGAGTCATCTTTACTTTATAGAATGTACAGTAGAAAAAAATTGCAAGTGACAAAATTGCAGAAGTTAAAGCTTTACAATATTATCAACATGAAATTGCAGCCAGTGATCAACAAATAATCCAAACTATGTGTCCTTTGGTTCAAAATGTGTCAAAATACTGTCAGATACACACTTTGACAACAAAAAAAGAGGCACAGATGGGAAAGAAACAAAAATGCACAGTCCTGTTCTAATCCATACGATCTTCAGCATCTGGCGCATGTTCTCATCCTCATCACATCTAATGTCATCTCTCGCTATGCACCTTGGATAGAAACGCTTGGCATGCCTTATCCACCTCTGGCCCTCTTCCTCTCCCTAGCCCAACTATTCGTCTTCCTTATCCAGACATTATTCTTTCTTTCTCTTCTCATCTGTGTTGCTCTGTATCCACATTGAATAAACTCAGTCCAGAAAGTCCCCTTTATACTGCAATGTGTATGTCAGTGAAAGAACTTCCACACCTGGCTATGTCTCTGATTGAGATTGGAATTAGCTGTGGTTGATCTATTTTACCCTAATTACAAAAATCAGCTATTTCTCAATGTTTCATTGATATGTTTATTACAGTTTTTTTTCCAATTGCTAACACACTAAAATGACATGCATAGCACAATTCTTTAAAGTGACACACAGAGAGCAAAACCTCTTCTCAAGTCTCCAAAACTCTAAACACATTTTCTGCTTTACACACATTTTTAAATGCACTGAACACGGTTCTCTACATAGGACACAACAATCTGACATAAAGTCACATGTTTGCTATTTCAAAACACTGCCAATCAAAATGACACTACATGAGCTAATTGGCCAATATATGTGCCACCTGGCCAAACTCCTCAATGGTTCATTGTTACCGCTTCAATCAGGAAGTAAGCACTAGAAAAATACCACACGTCTTTATATATATATATATATATATATATTTTCTGCACTTTTCTTTTTCAGTTTACTGTTTTTTGTGAGCATATCTTTGTTCACCCCAATGTAAATATATCTGCTGTGCATATGTTGCACTGACTTGTTTGGTGAAAAATGAAAAAATAAATGTTTCAACAGAGTGTGTGTGTGTGTGTGTGTGTGTGTGTGTGTGTGTGTGTGTATCTGCAAATATTTCTGTGCATGTGAACAATCTGAATAATTTTCTACAGTTTGAACTATTTTAGTATTATGTCAAAGCATACTGAAGATGAGAGTGTTTTTCCTTATGCCCAACAGTGTCTAGTTGGTCAGACAAACATCTGGTAATATGAATGAAGTGTGTGCCATTTGGTGCAAAAGTTTGATTTTTATAAAGCTATATGTAGTTTTGGTTGCAGCGCTTCATTTTGCAGGATATATGAGGGATTTTGCAGTTTGGGTGTGTGGTTTTGTGAAATGTGTTTAGTATTTTGATAAAACCAGCCTAGTTTGCAAAATTGTGTTTTAGCAATTGGAAAAAAGCTGTAATAAATGCTTATCAGCTGTTTCAATATCGATTTTGAACTTCTTTTGTTGCAGAAGTAGAGGCTTCATGGAATATTTAAGGTTTTGTTCATAAGGTCTTTATTTCTGACATGTTGTGTGTAAGCATTTGTAAATAACACAAAAACATCCATAGTTTTGGTATTGGGTGAGCTTGTACGTAAAGAAAAACTTAGCATTGTAGAAATGGATTGGGCAAAAAGATGTTAGCAATTGAAAAAAAACCTGTAATGTTATTATTACACCTGTGCTTTACCTGCTTTGATCAGTCAAAATGTCTGAAATAGAATATTTATTTTCATTTCTTAGTATTTAAATTTAATTTGAAATTCATATTTAAGCCAGTTTAGTTTTCAAAAAACTTACATACACCACATAATTTGAATGACCTTGTGTTTATATGAAAATGCACAATTTATGTTATAATTTGAATACAAACTGCTGATAGTGATCCTGTGATGATATAATATGTTGATAATATCCAATTTTATCTTTCAAATACAATGCTTTCTTCCCAGAGTTTGCAGTTTCATCAGATTCATTTTACTTTCTGTAAACTTGTGAAACCATTTTAATATTAAAGTTTCTACCAATGACACACTTCATTAATAAGACAAATACAACATCTTCCTTAATATTTTATCGATCAGCTTTGTTCCTAAAAAATAAATTCATGATTAATGTAATAAGGAAGTTTATGTAATCACAAATGCTTTAAAGAATCTGGAGTAAAGAATAAAATTACTTTAATAATGTCTCTGTCACAATAACTTCTCATTAAGGATTATCGCATAACTTTTATGTTTTCTAAATATCGAGAAAAGATATTAAACATTTCTACGTTGTAGTCTTTCTCAGGACATTACCTAAAATTGAATTCAATGTTTGTGGATTTAATAGAACTTTGAAGACAGCAACATCAGTTTACATTAACATACATGACAACAAATTATTTGATGAACTGGTCTTTATTTTGTTGAAATAATCAAAAAAACAAATTTATTCAATGAAACATGTAATCAGAGAGTGGGAGGAGGTAAAGAAAGATTTAGACAGATAATGAGCAAGTGCAGACTGAGAGCAGTAGCAGAGTAAAACCAGTAGTAGTAGTCCCAGTGAGTCAGGTCAGAACTGGGAACACTTGTCTCTCCTCAGTGTCTCTGAGAGCGGAGTCTGGGAGCCCTGGGTGGCCTCACAGGTCACAGAGCCCACCTTCCTCCAGTGGTCTGCAGAGAGCCTCAGGGTGCTGCTCCAGCTGTAGTGGCCGTCCTTCAGCACCCGGGGCTCCTGCTCTCCTCCCAGCTGCTGCTGCTACTGCTGCCGTCCACCTTCCAGGACAGACTCCAGTCTGAGGGGAAGCCCTTGTTGGCCAGACACATGAGCGTGGCCTTCCCCTGCTGCAGCTCCTCACTGGAGGGGGCAGCACCGTCAGGGTGGGACGGACATCACCTAGGAGACACCAATCAGCTTAGAGGACAGGGACCACACAGCTGTCAATCAAGCAGCAGACACTTGGACACCTTTACTGTGTGAGAGTTGATTTTCTCCTTTAAGGAGTTTCTGTCAGATGGTTTTTCTGCTCCACCAGTCACTCACTCACACATTGTTTCACTTCCCTTTAAGAAGCCTCTCATGCATATCAGCACAGAGAGAATCATCATACAGAATGAGCTGAAATATATCAAACTACACTGGAAATAAAATATCAAAAACTGTATCATCAAAATCATCCAAAACCTGAACTATACATTACTTTAAAGTATTTAGTGGAAACATGAACAAACACAGAAAATGAACTGACTACAATCAAATGTTCTTCATGTGGATTTCAATCATTATTACCAAACAGTAACTTTAAAACAATATATAACACTATTAAGAGATTTTGAATGTTTACTCATCTTTATCTTCACTATGTTCAATTTGACTATAATAATTTTATCTGAATTAATTTAAAAACAGTTATTTCTGATATCAAAAAGTAAAAGTGAATCTTAAAATGAAACATTTGTACAACAAGTTTAGCAGTTTTATCTTTTCTACACTTCAAGCTGTTTGAATTTCAGTTTGACAGGAATGTGTAAAGAACAAAGAGTTAGTCTCCATGATGAAGGAGGACAAGTACAAACATGAATACTTCAAGTGTTAATATTAAAACAAGATATATCTGTCTGCTTCAGACATACAAAAACTGCATTTAAAACATTACTTTACAATATTGTATTTAGTATTTGTACGGAAACTTACTTTCAACATCCTGTCTGGTTCCTCCACCAAAAGTCAACCACAGTGATACAAACGCCGTACAAAAACCTCTCACTGTAGAGAGACACGGCTCTCTGACTTTGGCACACTGAACTAAACCTACAAACCCTCAAGATGAAACTTTTACCATTAAAGTTGGAAATACTGATTCATATTCTGTCTTGATATTTTAAATTGACTTCAATGAGGTTTTGAATTTATATTCCTGATGCAAAGTTTGTCTCTGAGTGTAAAGTATTTCTGCAGAAGATAAACATTAATATGAAAAATCAAGAATTCTTCCTGAAATATATATAAAAACACAAATATGTCCTGAAATGATAAAAAAATTAAAGATTTGACTTACTTCCAACATCCAGTCTGGTTCCTCCACCAAAAGTCCACCACAGTGATACAAACTCATTGAGCCGCCGTACAAAAACCTCTCACTGTAGAGAGACACGGCTCTCTGACTTTGACACAAACAAACTCAGCAAGCGCATTCCCAGTTTACCCAGTTCATCTAATAACTGGTTAAAGTGTCTAAAAAATAAACTATGAATATATATTTAATCTTTTTGTATGATAAAAGCTGTATTAATTCATGTTACATTGAAACGATGAAACAAGATATTTCTAAGTAAAAGTCTCCAATAAATGATGACAAATGTAAATAATGATCATAAACATATGTTTATTGTATATTATGATGAATATAAAATAAATAATAGATAATATATTTGTTTAAATGTGTCCCACAGTGATGTTGATCTGTGTGGTAGTGAATTAGGGGGAATTCACTAAATATTCTGGAAGAAAATGTGTCCATCAAACTGAAAGCAAAGCCTCATACAAATGAGCACTGACACATTCCTAATCAATACTCTGATAAAGTGATTGATCCATTGATAAACAGCATCATGAGAGGAATCCAAGTCCCTGTTGGAGTCAGTCAGAGCATTTCCATAGAGAGCCACTTTGCATCAGCAGCACCATGCTCCAGTGCTCTGGGAGAGTTTATAGTCCTGAGAGTTGAACACTGGATGACTGACAGCTGTCCTTCATGACAACAGAAGACACAGAAATCCTCCTCATCAAAAACATGACTTTGATCTCCGTCCTCATCTGGACTCTCCTCTGCTGCTGCTTCACAGGTAAAGTCCAGAGAATCAAACTCCTCTCCTCTATGAACATCCGTCCCTCTGAAATGAAGCCCACAAAACCATGACGCTGCTTTATGTTTTTGTCTCTGTATCCTCAGAGTCCAGAGGCCAGGTCACAGTGACTCAGTCTGGAGCAGTGAGCTCTGCTGTGGGAGGCTCCGTCACCATCACATGTAGGACCAGTCAGAATGTCTATAGTAATAACTATTTACACTGGTACCAACAGAGAGATGGAGAAACTCCTAAACTGCTAATTTATGTAACTAGCAATCGAGCATCAGGGGATTCCAGGTCGTTTTACAGGCAGTGGATCAAACTCTGACTTCACTCTGACCATCAGTGGAGTCCAGACTGAAGATGCAGCAGTTTACTACTGTCAGAGTTATCACTATATCAACAGTCAGCATGTGTTCACACAGTGAAAAAGCGTCGTACAAAAACCTCCCTCAGTCAGACTG